AATGTCTCCAAGAAATCAGGCATTGCTAGTGCAGGTAGTTGTAACATCAATTTTTTTAACTCCTCAAAAGCAAGCCGAGCCTGTTCTCCCCACTTAAAGTTGTCTTTCCTTAATAATTGAGTGAGTGGGCGGGCAATATGGCCATAATTCTTCACGAATCTTCGGTAATACCCCGTTAATCCCAAAAATCCCCTCGAGCTTTTCAAGTTCTTCGGAATTGGCCACTGTTGTACTGCTTCCACCTTTTTTGGACGTGCCTTCACTCCTGCACTTGATATGATGTGTCCCAAATATTCCAACTCTTGTTTGGCAAAACTGCACTTCTTTTTATTTGCACAGAACTGATGCTTGACTAGCACCTCCAGTACTCAAGGAAGCACGGACACTTGTAAAAACAGGAAGAGTCGGGTCCGACACGCTCCGACACGGCGACACGCTCCGACACGCTCCGACACGCGGTTGACCATTCCGACACGCGAATTTGACCATGTCCGACACGGTCAAATGGCATTTTCGTAATTTTTATTTTATTTTAATTTTTAATTTTTTTTAATTTCTTTTTAATTTATTTTTTTAAAAAAATTATTTTTTTAAAAGTTAAAATATATTAATAAAGCTTCCACCTGATCATATCGATTTTTTCTTTTTGTCTTTTTTCCCCTTAAGTAGATAAGAGATCATCTCAGCATCATTGTTGTCAATTCCTATCACGCTCTTGTTGTATCTTCTTTTCTCTGATCTCTCTCTAATATGATTTGATCTCTCTATCTGATATTATATATATCTCTCTCATCCCAGTTCTTATTTTTTTTATTAAAGCTTCCATCTTTATAACGTGTTGATGGGTATTATTAATTTAGTTTCATTTTTTTGTTAAATTATTAAATATTAAATGAAATATACACTATATAAATTAAAAATATTATTTAATATTAAAACGTGTCTCAACGTGTCGAAATCCATAATTTTTTAGGATTGACGTGTCGGAGTGTCGTGTCGTGTCGTGTCGTGTCACGTGTCGCGTGTCGTATCAGTGCTACATAGCCAATACTTGTCGTAACTGGTTCAGGTGTGTGAGTTCATCCTTGCTATACACCAATATATCATCAAAAAAGACTAAAACAAACTTTCGAAGGAAAGGGCGAAATACCTCGTTCATCAAGGACTAGAACGTAGAGGGTGCGTTTCGCAACCCAAAAGGCATCACCATGTACTCATAGTGGCCTTCGTGAGTTCTAAAAGCCGTCTTTTCTATGTCTTCTGGTCGCATCTGTATCTGATGATACCCAGATTTCAAATTCAGCTTGGAAAACCACCGTGCTCCATCTAGCTCATCCAGTAATTCATCAATCACGGGAAGTGGGAATTTATCTAGTACCATTCCTTTGTTAAGAGCCTTGTAGTCCACACAAAACCTCCAGCTTCTGTCTTTTTTCTTCACCAAAATCAGTGGGCTAGAGTAAGGACTTATGCTTGGTCTAATCCATCCAGAAGCCAACATATCTCCCACAAATTTCTCTATCTCCTCTGTAATCACTCAATTTTGTCCTTACACATAATAAATAATAAAAAATAAAAATAAATCATGAACCATTCATTTTGGAACATATTTGTTATTATTACTATTTTGTTTTATATTAAAAAATAAAATAAAAGAAAAGTAAAAAAGAAGAATAAAAAATTTAATTAAAATAGGATTCTTAATGAAAAAGAAACCTTCAGGGGATGTCGGTTCTCAAAACCATATACCCATCACTCATTATCACATCGTTAATGGATCCCACGTGCTGTCCATGTTGAGCAACGCATAGCTATGCCATTTTTTGAAGAAAGATATCGTAGGGGAAGCATAAAAGCAGAGATAGAGTAGGGTGAGTTGCAGGGTTTATCCAAAAAAAAATATTTTATTGAAGAGCAGAAAAAATTTACACCGCCAAACCCATGGTATAAAAAGGTTTCATACTAAGAGAGTAAAAAAAAAAGAGAGAAAATTCTAGAGGAAAGCTGTGAAAAATTCTCTGAGATAGAAAATAGAAAAGGAGAACAAATACAACGAAGAGAGGGGTTAAGAGGTTCAGAAATTATTTTATTTCTAAAAAGAAGGAGGTGAAACCAATAAGAGATATCAATATGTCATCTTCATCACAGTAAAAGATTCAAGAACCTTCTCCTTTATTTTCCATTCCTGATCACCTATGTTTGCCATTACCACTGCTGACTGAAGCAACCTCCAAGAGTTACACATTTCAATCAAGATGTTACGAGGAGTATCTTGCTCAGTTTCTCTCCACCATAGATTCTAAACTCAAGGTCAGTTTTAATATTTTGGTTAAAAGAAATTTATATGCATTAGTCATTCAATATGTGTATACGTTGCTAAAGAATGCGTGTGCACGTTTCATTTCAAAGGGTTCCTTTTGTGTCTTTGTATTTGCTATTTATTATAATATTAAATGGTGTCATAAGGGCATAAATATTAGAAACAAATGTGGAAAACAAGAAAAAGGTGGTTCAGGAACCACATTCTAAGTTATAAGATATATATGAAATGAATAGCAAATTTCAGCTTTCTTGATCTAGGCACGTACGCCATCATGAGGAATGCTGTCATGTTGCATGTTTTAATATTTAATATTTCATTGTATCTTTTGATTCTTGTTAAAGAGTTGTTTTAATGGATCATCAAACTTAAGCTCCATGGCATGCACACTCACGAAGCAATATGCCATTTGTTTGACTCATTCCAATTTCTTTGCTTTATACTAACAATGGTAACAATACTTTGTCGTGTTATAAAACAATTTGAATATTTTTTTTTTGATAACAAACAATTTGAATATTTTAATAATATAAATTTGCAAACATCATTGTTTTTGGTCCATGTACCTGCGCATTCACAGCGTTGCCTTTTGAAGGTAACATAATAACTTTGTTTTTTTGTTGTTTATTATAACATGTTGCAATTTCTCAAATAATATTTTTTTACATTATACTAACGATGACCTAAAATCCAGTTAGATTTTATCAATAATTCTAAATAAAAATTATCATATTAGATTTACATGGGTAATTTAACCGTGACGGTTTGTTAATCCCATAGATTTTGTTTTGGATCATTTTGGTCGAGACGACTTGGTGATTCAAATTTTATTTAAGTTTATCATAAAATAACATGAAATATATGTTAAAAGGATTAGCTGAGTTGTGACAGCTTGTTAATTCCTTTATTCTTTAGAATCATTTCGACTGTGACAGTCCGATGATTTTAGACCATTTAGTAATAATAAACAAACAAACAAACAAAAAATCAAGGTTTTATTTAAAACTATTTAATTTTGGGTTAATTAAAACATAAGGAATAAAAAATTAGTTTGATATCAATTGAAATGGGAGTCAGCTAAGCCGTGACGGCTTGTTAACCCCACACATTTTATTTTTGACTCATTTTTGCCAAGACGGCTTGGTGATTCAAAATTAAATCAAATTTATCATAAAATTTACGATAACAAAAAATAATAATATGAATATTATTATTCTTCTAAAAAAGGATTAGCTGAGTTGAGATAGCTTGTTAATCCTGCAATTATCATTTCGGATTATTTTAACTGCGACAGTTTGATATTCCGAAACCATCAAATCCAAAATTTTCAAATTAAAACTACTTTCAAAAAAAATAAAATCAATCAACACACAAATATTTTCTACAGAACGACGTAGCTTTGAGTTCCCTATTGTACCGAGGGATACGTCGGAGCGGGACCATCCCGTCAAGCACAAAAATAAAATTTCAAAATTAGTTTTCTTTTCCAACGATCAATTTTATTTAGGGTGAAATAAATATTTAAAATATTATCAATAATTTGCACAATTAATATAAGGTAACCGTTTTTTAACGGACGGTGTAGGGTGCTAATACCTTCCCTACTCGTAATCGACTCCCGAATCCATTTCTTTTGTATTCAAAGACCAGTTGTCTTTAAAAAAGGTTTTTTCCAATGTTTTCCTAAATAAACTTTGGTGGCGACTCCATTGTTTTAACCATTCAATATTCTTTCGCCGTCACGTCGCGATACGGTTGCGACAGCTGGCGACTCCACTGGGGACTTTTCAGAGAGTCAAGCCTATTTTATTAATTGTGCAAATTATTCATAAATTTTATTTATTTTGTTTCACCCATCTTTTTTGTATTCTTTTATATCTTTTGAATAAGTGTCATTATTGAACATTATGTGTTAATGGTATATATAGTTGCATAAAGTATGTATCTTGTTTGACTTTAACCTCAGGGTAGACGATTTTTGCTCTGTATATATCCTGCCTTGTTATTGTTTTGCAGCCTTGAGACTTTAGTTATTTTAGGATGTACATGTATGTTTACTCCTAGCACACAACTCACACACGCTTACGAGTGGGGCCCTATACCCGGGTCTGAGTGAACTTAAGATAGAAAGGAGGTTGTGTAGTGGTATCCATTTCGGATGTACATCCTGTTTGGTTATCATGAAAGCCTCATCTAGAGCGTGACTATTTTGGAATTATAGCCATTTTGGACGTACGTCCTGTTTGACTATGTTTTCAAAATGAGATCTTAGCTCTAGAGACCAAGATTCTCGTAGTTATAGAACCACCAAAATGAGAGGTTCCACATATTAGTAAGACCTTTTGACCTGCAAAATAAAAGCAAGATTATGCAACTCAAAAGAAATTGATTCAGGATGCGAAAGGATCATATTTCCTTCTTACTTTTATTTGTATCCTCTACATATTTCCAAATCATCATGAATTCATATTTCAACTACTCATTCAAATGCATAATAAATCATGATAGGCATAAATATTATCTGCATCATTTTTTTAAAAAAAAAAAAAAATTCTAAAAAAGTATTCATGCATCATTCTTTGTACTCACTCACCCACATTATCTATCTTACACTATTTCAGGAAAGTTTGTTAGAGAACTGTTGAATTTTAGTTTGATCGTGAGTATCATTATTATAAATATGGGATCAAATCACCGTGAGACACAATCATCAATGTTGAGGAAAACTTTGCATCTCAAAGCTAAAAAACTTGAAACTGAGAGTTTGAAGGTTTTGGGCCGCATGTTAAAGAAACCGCAACAGTTGACCCTCGCTAGAAAGTATGGGAATGTCTTGGATTTATTGGAGGTGGATGTTCAAGTTGAGGCAATCACTGCAATTGCACAGTATTATGATTCACCTCTACGATGCTTCACTTTTCAAGATTTTCAGTTAGCCCCTACATTGGAAGAATTTGAGCGAATCTTCGGGTTATCTTTAGAAGAGGAGAAACCCTATCGTTACATTGGGCATTACCCTTCCATGCACGTTGTTGCTGAGATTTTGAAAGTTCAGGTGAGAGACTTACAAGAAATGAAGCAAATTCGGAATGAGACTGTGGGATTTCCGAGAAAGTATCTTGAAGAACATCTTCACCGCTTAGCAGAAGAAGGGGAATGGGACACTTTCATTGATGTGTTGGCCCTCACTATATATGGCATTCTCATATTCCCTAATATTGATGAATTTGTGGACTTTGCAGCCATTGATGTATTTGTGGCGCGCAAATTCAAACGTGAAAACCCAGTCCCAGCCATTCTTGCTGATGTTTACTATACCTTGAGCTTTTGTCATGAAAGGAAAGGGAAGCGAATCTTGTGTTGTTTACCAGTGTTGTTCATATGGCTCACTGCTCACATGTTTAACAGAGGATACAAAGCGGCGTGCCCGATCGCTGATTTTCGGATGTATCAGTTGAAAGCCAAAAGTGGTCGCGAGTGGGTGGAAACTTTAGCCAAGCTTGATGGAAAAAGTGTTCGATGGTATCCTGAATGGGCAAAAATAGAAGCTTTGGTTTACCAATGTGGAGATTTTCCCAATGTGCCTCTGCAAGGTACTCGTGGATGTATCAATTACAATCCATCTTTGGCCTTGCGACAACTTGGTTACCCTATGAAAGAAGCTCCTACTGAAGACATGACAATTTCTTTCCTCCTTTATGATCTGAGCCCTGAAAATACCACAATGATCAAAAAGGTTCGAAATGCGTGGGACAAGGTAGTACGAAAGGGTAAAGAATTGGGAGTAAGAAGCTGTGATTGCAAAGAAAACTATCGTCAATGGGTTAAAGACCGAGTTAAAGAAGTCAAGTTACCATTCCAAACTCCTGTAACTCTTGTGGTCAGCAAAACACCAATTCTCGAACCTATTGAAGATGAAGAGGTGAAGGAAGTGAAGGCTAGGTTGATGAAGGTCGAGATAGAGAAAAAGAAGCTAGAACAAGAGTTGGATGAAACAAGGCAAACATGTCGGGCATTGGAACGAAAAAACATTGAGAGAGACCATAGTTTTGAAAGGACTAATAAGAAGGCTAGAAATGAAGAACACCTCAAGCTCAAAACACAGGATTGCTTAAAAGCAGCAAACAAGGAATTGGGACTTCGAGGGCAAGAAAGGGATAAGGCCCTGGCTGAAAACCAACAAATCAAGAAGTCACTTAGAAGCAGTAAAGCAGCTGAAAAGGATGCATTAAGACAAGCGGCCCATATACAACAACATATGGAAGAAGTAGTGGCCGGATATCAGGATGTGATCCAGAGAGGGCAGGAAGACATGCAAAGGTTAAGAGACCATATTCAAGAGCAAGAAGCAGTCATTACTGAGATTAGAGAAGATGTTTCTTTCTGGATGACTCGTTTCTCAAATTTGGTCAAGATTTCTAATAGGGCAATCATAGATGTTCCAGATCTTTTGAAGATGGCCGACATGATGGTAAATCCCCTCAGCACCCCGATGGAGATTTGTGACTTCATAGATCATTGCAAAGATTTGGTTAGGGAAATGAAACAATTGGTTAGTGGGGGCATGTGAAGCAGTGTATGAATATAACCACTTGTATTTTGTTAGAGAACGTTTGTATTTTGTTATGAAATGATTGTAATATGCTTTAGTTCTCAACAAAGATGTTTTGCTTGTGATCCTATATTTATATGACCTAGTACTTTCGAACGTGACGTTCTGAGAAACGGTCTTGAAATGAATAATGATACTCACATCAATGCAACACACGTATCAACAGTTTTCTGACAAGCTCAAAAAGGAAATAGTAATACCATAAGTAAACATTCATCATGTTTTCATTTCAAACAAACAAAAAAAATAGTGATTTTCATGGCATTAGTTCACTGTCAAATAAAAAGTGTTTCATAATGACAAGCGTTTCATAGTGACAAGTGTGTCAAAGTGAGAAAACTTTTGAACTGTTATTTCTCCTTGAAAAATTTGAATCCCTCAAATCTTGCATCTCAAAACTCTTGCAAACTCAAACTCTAAGACATGGAATCCAAAGAAGCATGTGATGCAAGGAATTTGAGTCATAAAGCGGATGAATTGAAAAGAAGATTAGATGAAATGACGGAAAGACAAACAAGAATGGAGGACATGCTGAAGCAGCAAAAGAAGGCATATGATTTAAAAGAGTCAGAGTTAAAGCCCGTGGAGCAGCAAGATCCTTCACCACCCCATATCTCACCACCCTTCTATCAACCTCTCTCCAATATACCCTATCCAGCTATGACGCCTCATATTGCGTCATTCATTCATCCATTCCATACAAATTATCCTCCTACACCCCCTCAAAGCCATCATAGCCAATATCCACCTTGGACCAGCCATCAACACCTTTCCAATCATCATTTGCCTAAGTCCAACTCTCAAAACCAAGGATGCTCTTCTTCAAAAAAAACTACCATGTCCAAAGCCATCAATTTCAAGGGCTGAATTGTCATATCAACTACAAAGTGTTCATCGAATTCATAAAATCTTCACAAAATCAAAAAAAAAATCAAAAATAAAAATAAAATAAAAATCAAAAAAAAGAATGAAAAATTGTGTATCCAAGAAAAGAATGGATTTAAGTTTCTTGTATGATTGGTCACTCCATTGAAAATTGCAAGCCTTTTGAGAAGGCGGTGAAAATTGATAGATCGTGGTCAATTAAATATCCTTTAGGGAGGATCTATTGCAATCAACAACAAATTTCTGAACCATGAAGAAGAAACAATTGTCTTCCAACCAAAATAAGGGATCTTTGAGTGATCGATGGTCTATTTTGTTAATTAGTGAGATTGGCATGATGTAATGGTTTTGTCATGTTGTCTCCTATAAAAGATTAAATTGGGAGAATATTGAACTGATGTTAACTTTCTTTGGAGCATGTATTCAATGAACTTGTGTGACAATTATCTTTCCTTACATGTTGTTTTGATTTTCTTCTTTTCCTCTCACTTTTATTTCTTAACTTTTCACATCTCACGTAAACCACCTCCAACCAAATTCATTCCTTTCAAAACTCACACCTCCAAGAAGATTCCTAAAGGCTCATTTGATTGATTCCTATGTTTATAATGGGCATGAGTAGTCATGGATTTGATGGAAGAGTGCAAGTCACTAAGCTCATAAATGATGAACATTGTTCCCAGGAACAAAGAAAGTCAGAAGGAAACCGTTCGAGATTCATACACAAGCTCGAATTAATATCCTTTTTGAACAAAAAAGC